CTAGCAAAAAAGGACTATTAACCCATAAGAACCCAGGCCCATGGGCCTAAACTCAAAAGTATGGAGCAACAGGCCATGACCAACTAGACTTGTAGTATCCATATTTTTATTTTAATTGTTGTTTTACAACTTCTTATTTTGTTTTGTATATGTAATAATTTTTTTTTTACTATTATTTAATATAATCTACCTCCTTTAATAAACAAAACATCTAAACTACATGTCCCTTTTCTAGATAAACTAATTGACACATGACAATTTTTAATCAATTATTAATGTTATTTTTTTTTTAAGGTAATTGGTATAAATCTTTCAAATATCCGTTTTTTTTTTTTTTTTGTAACATAAATATTTGAAAATGGTAAGTAATTATAACATAACTATTCAAAAATTGGAATTATTTATAAGGAATTTTCAATTTTCATTTTTTTTTTTTTGTAATTGGATCTTAATTTTTAAAATACGATTTAAAATTTAGGACGTAATGCTTTAAAAGACTAATAAAACAGTTTTTAGTTTTATCTAATAGTCATTTATGATTTTTTTCCGTGATAAAATTTTTAATTGTTAATTTTTTTTGTCTGTATAAAATTTTTAATCATATCGACCCCGGTTTCCACAAGTTATAACTTAGTGTTTTATTAAAGTGAACTGAAAATTTATTTTTACTGAATATTTCAAAATTTTATGTTAGACAATTTTTAAAATTTTTAACTGAACCATAACAGATTTTATATGATTATGGAGCTTATATTTTTCAATAAAAAAATGAAAACCACTTTCCCACCACCACACATTGCCAACGTCTTCTTCGTCTTCTTATTCACCTCTACCGGAGATCACCACGATGCCATCTCTAACTTCTTCTTTCTCTTGTACTTTGTTGTTCTTGAAATATTATGAAGTGACGATGTCAATCTCTCAAACATGACAACTAACCTTTGTTTTTCAAGTTTTTCGCATTTGAGTATGGACCTTTCAAATATCAAAAGAGTTTTTCTGTTTTTGCAATGAATGCAAAAGTTCTTATGAAGATGCCACTAGACTCTTAATTAAACAGGATAGTTAACATTCACGATGTTGCTAGATTGATAAATAGATGAAACGACAACAAAATTTCCATTCCAATGAACAAATTCTGGAAAATGACACAAGTCTTCTAAAGAAGAAGCTCACCCTTTGAGAAATTTTTTGGTGATGAAGGGTTGTGTTAATAGTTCTTGATTGGGTTTGACAACAATGCATGTAATTCAAGAAACGACGAGGAAGGAGGGAGCACAACGACAATGCTGATAATTCAAGAACATATGGCAAAAAAAAAAAATTTAAGAAATTATTACATATTAAAACCGTTCGTTATTTTCAAAGAAAAAAAAATAAAAGAAAAGACCAATGAGCTTTTGAGTGTGTGGAATTGATACGTTTATCTCCTTAGAAATGGGTGGAATTGAAGGCTAAACCGCACCCATTGTATATGGTGTTCCTAAATACGGTTTAAAACGTAAGTAACCTCTAATCACGTCTCACAAGTTGATGACATATAAAAGATATATTGTTTCGATATGAGTGTTTGAAGTTCACATATTTAGCGATTAAAATGTTTGGATAATTGCTTGTATAGCATTTTGAATCTAAAATAGAGGGAATTCAAAATGGCCAACGATTATTTTATTTGTCCAATTTTAATTACTGAATTTTTTTTGGCCCATGTTTAGATAATAAATTTTTAAAACCGTCTAATTTACTCTTTTTAGGCAATGAACTTCTCAAAATCATCTTATTTTAACTATTTTATTTGGCTATAAACCTTAACCTGCTTACATGACATTTTTTATTATCTATATTAAAACTTTGTTAATAGTAAGATGACATGGCTTTTATAGCTATGACTTGACAATCTAGCCTGTTAAAAGCACAAATTCAATTAGTCTGGCAGGGAATCAAATTGGTTACGTGTGTTGTCTTCGTTTTTAGGAAACATGAAGTTCTAACACATTGATTAAAATTTACTACAAATCATTGAATAATGTCATCTCAGTCGGTTGAAGAAACTAAAATAAGACAATTTTGGAAATCTAAAAGTGTATAAAAATAAGTTAGTAACTAAAAGTGGACAAATGTAATTATTTTTATTGGTAATTTATAACATTTTCTCCGAAGTTTAACCGATATTACCTATAATACTTGATCAAAAAGAACTTGAAAAAATCATTAAAGATAGACAAAAAATTAAATTAAATGTCTAAAATGAACTAATGGAATAATTCATTGATAATTTTCAGCCTTTTCCCTAAAATAAAATATCGAAATGAACATTTAATTAAAAAAAAAGCGATAAATTGTGAAATGAGAGTAAAAGTCAAGTTAGAGGAATATAGATAACTTATTTTTACTTAAAATAATCTATTTTATTGAAGCCAATATAAACCTAGCTAATTATTTGACTCTTATAAAATTAAATAATGAGATTATGCTTATCCAAATATTAAATACTTACAAATTTTAGGAATCACAGCTAAACATTATGGTTAACTAAATCCACATTCCGCATATTAAAATTGATCATTATATAACTAGTATATTTTCTATCTTTTTAGAAAATAAAGCTATAATTTAATTAATATTATATCGTTTCGAGAATGATCGAAACAATCTATGGTCAACTAAATCTATATGACTCAAATTGACCATTATAACCGCGTCATTAAGATTTGTCCGCAATCTTAATTAGGGTTTGGGGGGTGAACGAAAGCACTCTAAATTAAAATCTTACTTGTAAAGCATACATCCATTAGATTCAAAAAATAATTCATTAATTAAACTTTATAAAAATAAAAAAAAAATCATTAGATGCTAATTCAATTAAATGTCGCTAAAAAGGGTAAATTACAAATCTATATTAGCTCGAGTGATCAAGATTTGTGAAAATAAACACAAAATTTTGAGCTTGAATCATAGACGTATGTATTAGTCAACAAATTATCAAGAAAAAGTTTTTCATTACGAATCTAATCTTCTAAAAGAAGTAAAACAAATTAATACCTTGCTAGTAAAATTGACTGAAGTCGTTCATCATATGCTGCTGTGGATGAATCAAAGAACCTTGTTGTTGATCTCTTTCTTGCTTTAATTTCTCCATATTTTGCAAAGATCCATAGTTGAACATACGCGAATTATCAATACCACCACCATTACCGATCCCATTGCTATGAATATAATCCAACACTGCACCATTGTTAATCCCATTGTTATCACCATTCCATGATCCAATCAAACGTTGCTGCCCAGATTTATTGTTGTACAAAACCCCGTTTTGCGTAATGGGAACTTGTCGAAGATGATGATGATGATGAATATTAGCTTGTTGGTATTGCGTTTTATAAACCCTAAGTTCTTCTGAAACCCTTTGAAACTCTCCTAATGGCCCTAACACAGGATCTTTAAGCCGACAATTCGCTTCCCAGATGAGTGAATCCACCGCTTTTTTCCCGTCTTCTCTAGTCAAATCCTTCACCAATTTAGTCACGTTACTAACCCCGAAGACCTTATGAACAGCTTGAAAATCTTGGGTTTTTTCCGCTGGAAAAAAAGGTGCCAAGATGCACTTTTCTGTGCACTTCTTTCGCTGGTGGCGGCATGATGCGCATGCAGGAACTCCGCCTCCGCCATTGGTGGTGGTTGTCGGTGGCGGAGATGGGGAGGGTGCAGCCTCAAGAACCCTAATGGTGGTTGTAGTAATGTGACTCTTCTGCATCTTTTGATGAACTATATAAATCAAGAATTGAGGGGAGATGATCAAGAAAAGCTTTGAATGAAAGAATATTATTTGATCGATTTAGGGTAAAAAATTAACAAGTATGATAATTTACATCTCTATATAAACAAGATCTTGACCCATGTGCCGTATCACAATACTAAACAAGATACCATTTATATTTATAGCTTTGTTTATGTCAAGAATGAAAAGGGTGTTTCTTGAATAATATAATTAATAAAATCCTTGAAAAAGATAAGTAGACATACCAAGAAATACTATGTTTCTGTGTGTATCTGTGTGTGGGGTGGGGTGGGGTGGGGGTGGGGTAGGGGTAGGGGAAGGAGAGTGATATCTAAATATTACGCATGGAAAGATTGAGGATTTGTTTAAAAAGGTTTAGGGTTTTATGGGTGTTTGTAGGTGGTTCACATGAAGACGAAGGGTGTGTGTACATATGTTCAACTAAATTTAACTTAACTCCCCTAGATTTTAGCAAATGTCATCTAGGTCCGAAATATTTTCTACCTATGTCTATGTCATAATGATATGTCTTCACGAGAAAAAATGAAAAATGGATCCATATGAACAGGTGTTCATAAAGAAAGAACATACATGTAATGGGTTTCATGCTTACTTTTTTTTTTTTTTCATCATATATTCATTTAAAGATTTGCTTGATAGTTTTTTCTCCTCATATATTCATAATTCATTTAAAGATTTGCTTGGAAAGATGTATAGGAATTTGTTCATACATAAATATTTTCTAACTTATTTGGTAATAATTTGTTTTTTTTTTTACTAGAGAAGAAATACTTGAACAATGTTTATAGTCGGGTTAAATTAGTGCCAATTAAAATCGATATTTTTATTGGACATTATTGTTGGATAGACTACCTATAAGAGCAAACTTGGATATACATGGCATAGATATTTCTTCTTCTTCCTGGCCTATAGGGCAAGAGACCAATAACCATCTCTTTTTTTTCTTGCCAAGTGGCCTCGAAGTTACGATCTCGGATCTTCAAATGGGAATAGATAAATTGTTGATCGTTTCCTATGACCTATGGTAACTGACTTTTGTGGTTTGAAGCTATTCGTTTTAGGAAAGGTGCTAAAGATTTACTAGAAGTTGTTTTTTTACATGATGTGTTGGCATATTTGAAATTTTGGTAACACTCTTCTTTTTGGTGAAGAAAAACCAAAAGAAACTCACATTTTTTATAACATAGCAACTCATATTTATATATGGTGTAACCATAGACATAAATTTTATTAATTGGGTCGGTTGGCTTCCCAACCCAATTGTCGTTGTTATGTAATTATTTGTTGTGTTTTTTTTTTTTTCGTCTAATTTCTTGCTAGCGGGTTGCAAATAAAAATTTTATCTTTTAAAAAAAAAAAAAAAAACTATTAAAATAAGTTCTTTTAAGATTTTTAATTTGCAATTTGGTCTGATCGAACGGAAAATGTGTGCACCAAAATTAGCCTTTTTCAATTGGATCCTGAATTCAATGAGACTCGCCATAGAGATCGACTTTAGGGACTAACTTTAATAAACTTGAAGGTTTGGGTGGTAAGAGAAAATAAGAGAAAAAGGCTGGGGGTTAAGTGGGATATATAAGGTTTTGGATATGAAAAGATTGGAAAGGGTAAAAAATTTGGTAAACTTTGCAACTTGCAATGATTATGCTTATTTGTACGGTATAAAGATCCGTAAAGATACCAATGTTATCCATTATTTTAATCTTTTTTAAGATACAGAAATTTTCTAAAAAACAACTGTACATTTTATTTCAAAACCATAATTTTATGTTTTTCTTCAAGAAAATCACTTATAATATTTTTATATTTTTAAAAATCATTCAAATTTATTATCTTTTTCAAAAAACTATTATTTTTTCTTCGAGGTACAACCTAATTTTTATAATGGAGATAGTTTATTAATCGAGATACAACCTAAAACTTTATCATGGAACATAGTTTGTTAACATGAAAATCATTCAAATTTATTATCTTTTTTCAAAAAACTTTTTTTTTCAAGATACAACTTAATTTTTTTATCATAGAACATATTTTTTTAATCATTAAAACTGAACGGAATGATGTTCGACATGCCTAGCTAGAATCTTTTTGCCGAGAGGAACACCAGCCCTCGTCGACATTATCAAGCAAAAAAATATCGAGCTCAGTATGTTTATGTGGACTCTCTCTTCTTTCTTTTTCTCCCATTCTTGTCACTTTCTTCTCTCATACTCCATGTACATGATAAAAATACATCAATCCTAGGTGGAGATGAGCTCGAGTTCGATGTCTATCATAATTCATTGCAGTCTAAAGGTGAAATAGTTCGAGAATATTACTCATGATTAGGACCAGTCCATAGGTTTTTAATGTCTTTGGCAGAAAATATTATTATTCCCCTATATTTACGGGAAACTCATGCAACACAAAATTATACATATTGGTAACAAAGACTAGAATAAATACTCTCATTCTATCTCTTATAACAAAAAGAGGCAAATTAATAGCAATCAAATTTGCAAATATGCAATAACCATTTAAAAACTATAATAAACAAAACATAATATAATCTTGTTAACAACTATAGAGACACAAGACGTATAGTATTAGCAAAAAAAATATTTGTAGAAAAATCATTGATACCAAATAAGATAGATCAAAGGATATTTATAGGAAAAATATTTTTATATTGTATAAAAAATTCTTTTATTAACAATTACAAAAACTCAAACATGATAGATATTAGCAAAATTCATTTGCAAAAGAAACATCGAAGCAAATATAAAAAATAAAAACATGACTGCCAACCTCCAATTTCCAAATAAAGTTCCATTTCCAGTTGAGTAATTACAGATCTTGGAGAGTCTAATTTGAGTGCTTCCAATTTCAATTCTCATTTCCTATTAAAAGACACAGAAGGAGAGTATGACATATTAGAATAAGATCAACAATCAAAAAAAACTTTTTATACACAACTATTGAATCAATGGCATCTTGCAAAACAAATAATAACACATTTTTTTTTTTTTTTTGTTTCTAACTAGTTAATAAATCCAAATATCCATAAAATATCATCAAATCATCATAGTTAATTACATACCTGAAGCAAACTACAAATATCATTAATCAAACAACTCCTGGCTTTGAACTCAAATGAGAGAAATCAGAACTATGAACTCATGATTTTGAATTAAAAAAATCAACAAATGTTCGAATTCCTACTCCTAAGCAAACTACAAAAACGAAAAAAAAATAAAAAAATAAATAAATAAATAAATAAAATAAAATAAACATGAAGCAATCTAGGGAAACTAATTAAATCAAAACAAATAAATATGAAATAAAAGATAATTTTAGATAATTTTGCCAATATCATAGAATCTGCAAGAATTTTGAAATAAAAGTTAAAATTCAACATCAAACTTTGGCCTCCAACATATATAATACATAAACTTTTTCATTTTCTATAATATCACACTTATATTGTAACCAAAGCAATAGACACTTTAGGCTATGTTTAGCGTACTAATTAAAAAGTTGGCTGTTAGCTAAAAAGTTGACTGATAGCTGAAAAGCTAGCTGTTAAATAAAAAGCTAGCTGATAGTTGAAAAGTAGCTGATAAAAATGATGTTTGGTAAAACTAGCTGAAAAATATAAAACTACATAAAAAGACATGTGAGAGTATGTGTTTCTATAATTAATTAAGGGGTGTATTTGAAAATATTTTAAAAAGCTAGCTTATAAGCTACTTTTTGGCTTACCAAACACGACAACATAAAAAACTCGAAAAATAAGCTAGCTTATCAGCTAGTTGTGGCTCGCTAAACACAACCTTAATAAAAAGATGACATGGTTTTCAGAAGTTTTAATACATGTTTTCATTAGGTCTATATGATGTACATGTGTTCAATCACACACACAATACCATAAACAAAACACATACAAATATTGTTATATTATAGCTACATAACATATATTAATTCTAACTTCTTAAGTACCTTCTCGTGGAACATCCTTTGATATTTCAGTCGTCATTATAGAATCAATGACTCCATTATTAGAGTATTAAACTATTAATTGATTACAGTTTACACATTTACAAACAATTAATTTTCTCTATGCTTATATATACACGCATCGATTTTATTTTTACCACACATTCTCAATAGAAAAAAAAAAAAAAAAAAAAAAAAAAAAAAAAGACAAAGTAAGTCTTCACAGGAAAAAATGGTGTTTGGTAAAGGTGTTTCTGATCACAGAGAGAACATAGAGCATATTGAAGTAGATGAAGATGAAAATAACACTGAAGATAACACATTTATAGATGATACTCAACAAGTAAACACTCGTGAAGTGAAGGATGACAAGCCATTATTGCAGGAACTAAACATTATTTCTGCTGCAATAAGCAAGAATGTTGGGGGTGCAAAGAAGTGGGTTTGTAAACATTGCAAACAACAGTTTACTAGTTCCTATACGAGGATACATGTACACGTTTTTGGTGCTATGTTGGGCAAGACCGCAGAAATTAGAAGGTGTCCGATTATACTAAATGATTGTGAGAAGCGTGAAAGGCTGTTTAACAAAGTCTGAGATGCTGAAAATGTTGTGGTGTCCCGTGCTTTAAACAACTCCATAATCAATACAAAATAATCTTCCTCTTCTTCTAAGAAACCTATTGAAGATGCATTTGTTATAATGGAAAGAAGCGTTGTTGACTTGAAGATCATGAGAGGGTTTTGCGCAAATGGAATTCCGTTTAATGTGCTACGTAATCCCCAATTTTTGGAGATGGTTAATGCTATCAACAAAGAACCTGTCGGTTATAAGCCTCCCTCTAGCGAGAAAGTAAGGACGGTTTTACTTGATGAATGCCACAGAGATATAGAAAAGGATTTAAATCCTATAAAAGATACATGGTCTACACAAGGTGTTTCAATTGTTTCTGATGGGTGGACAAACATAAAGCACAAGC